AGCGATCGAGCAAACCAAGTCGCGACAAATGGCTGCACCTATTGCTCCACGAGCATCAAGTAGACAATCACAAAATGTAACAGTCTTTCTTGAGTCATATACGCAATATACCAATCCTCAGCCTTTCATTCCAGACACCCGGGCGAAGCGAGCTCATTGATGTAGGGAAATTAAATCAGCTGATTAGAGCGCTGGACAAGACTTGGATTCTTCCACGACTAGGCGCCAAGGAACCAGTCGGTAGCAATTTTCAGGTAAGAGTGAAAAAATGTGATATTTCAGTGTGCTTGATACTCTTGTTCGTTTCAGTACAAAAAGACATGCGCTTCGATTTTTAAAGCGAGGCATGGCGCTTGTCAGCAGCTTGGCTTTGGAGTGATGTGCTTCAATTATTGTCACGAACGAGGTAGGTTTTTAAACATTTTCTCGAAGAAACAATCAGAGATACTCAAAAGCTCTGTCATACTTTTGTAGCGCGAAAAGTATTCCGATCGAAGGCTAGTTAATTGTTCATCTAGACGGGTTCAACAATGACCTAAGTAATTGTTTTTGCACTGTATTCCAAACGAGGTTATCAAGACAGGAATCTTTATTTACTGGCCTTACGTTTCGACCGCTTCGTCTTCTTCAGAGGCCTGGAGATTGTCCAAGATTCCACCGATGCGGAGCACTAGCTCACCCCATGTGTTGTTTATGGCGTCAATTCAGCGATTCACTCCGCATCGGTGGAATCTTTGACAATCACCAGGCCTCTGAAAAAGTCGAAGCGATCGAATCGTCAGGACAGTAAACAAAGATCCCGTCCTAAGACCTTTCATTATTACCAGCTGTTATTCCAGGAGGAATTAAACTGTGAAGCGTTTTCAAAAAGAAAATGTTTCGCAGCTCTTCTATCTTTCTAAGACGGCACAGCACAATTGGCTCTATTTCCTCGGAGAAAAACAATTTATCAAAGGAGCGTTACAGGTGTAAAAGTTATGTGTGCATTGTTTGAGTGCACTAATGTGCAGGAAAGGATTTTTCGCAAGGCAGAAGATGGTGATCCCACCCCTAGCCATTTTGCTATGTGTCCACCTACACTCAAATGTAATTCACTCCACATTTCACACGCTCACTCAACTCATATATTGATGTAAGTAATCGCCGATTTATGTAGGATCGTGAAAGCGTTTGCAAATGCTTACTGACACCGCAACCGCTCAGGGTGAACCCGTAATGAAGAAATGCCTCTGTCGGAAGATAGTTGCAATACCAGTGTACCCTAGCGAACTCAGCGATTCAACCGCATCCGCTTAGCTAATCGCTTCTGTGGGGTCCACCAGGTATTTAGGCTCCTCTTAGAATTGCGAGGATATGCATACAAATAATATCCGACCGACGCAGGTACTTCTTTGGTCCAGTCGATGTTCTTGTGGATAATTATACCCCAGCGGAGAATTGTTTGGGATCACATGAATGCTTTTGGAAAAAGGCAGGCTAGCATGTAATAAGAGGAGTCATTCTCTTTACGCATAATTACTATACCTCTTGTCACAGTTTTTCACAGTCTTCCATCACTTCCTTCCTATCAAATTTTACAAAAAAAAGAAGTCTATCCATGGAAAATTCTACAAGCAAGTAACTGTCCTTTGATGCTCGCGCACGACCCGAGAAAGCAGAAGTTCCCATCTGAAGTAAAGCATCGTTCATGTCGTTTTCTTAGCCGCTGCTATCTTCAACTCTGTTGACGCTGCACTCGTGCAGCTCACGAACCACGAGTCGCGCAAAACACCTCTGATGATAAGATCTCAAAAACAGATTAAGCGGCGGCGAAACAAACTACTAGGGAGCCAGCTGTCGATACTGGCCTCAGGAAAATAAGCTTGCTGCGAAAAGTAGTTCAGACTTTGTTTGCTGACCCTCACAGCACCACTGACCGATAATATGCTGCGCTGTGCTGTGCAAGTATATGTAAATCAATCAGTTCTGCATCATTGGTCTGATATCGGGAACCAACAGCACCACTCATGGAGGGTTGATCGTGCAGTAGTAGAAGAGATTTTTTGCAGCCAACTTCAAAAGGTGTTATGTTAGGGCAGACCGTCATTTGTTTGAGACCAGTGACCAATACTTTTCCAATCGGGCTTTAGCATAATTCCAATTACCGCTCCGAACGGTTTACAGTGGTCTATACTATGATGGCCAAGAGAATCACGTCGCCGTCATCAAATGATCACTTCGTGTTCTCATTTCTGAAATGGTGCCGCTGCTCCAATACCCACCCCACTGTCTCCAAAATTTAAAGTGCATCTGAGACTCTCCTTTGCCAAGTGACCTTAAACGGTACGTAAAGTTTAAGTTCCGAAAGTGGCGCATAAGAACATTGTCTATTGCTATCCTGCTTTCTATTGCAATAAGTTTTCCCCTTACAATAACAGCAACAATCTTGTCGTTGTGTCGATTTCAATCTGCTATACATGAACATATTTGCGTGCTTTCATGCATTAAAATTCGAAAGAAAATGGTCTCCCTCACGCTATGCTCCGAGCACCGGCGCTCGTTCCCGTTCATATTGGACATTTCGCAGAACCTCAGGGATTGTTGAAGTTGCAGAGAGTTCTAATCTCGAAATCGCCAAATTTCTCCAAACCTCCCTTCTATTTGGAGTGAAAAAGAAGTTTTAGGCGCTCTTTGCGAACGTATTGATTTCCAAAACGGTAAGAAGGTTCGAAGCTCTCAAATTATTCGCTACCTAGGAACTTTTGAAACTGTTGTAAATGTCCGTTGGCTCGAACTGTGGCCTCGCTATGCTTTTTTTGAGCACATGGTGCTTTCAGGCTTCTGATGCTGGAAGCAACTCCTTGCAACTTTCCAAAATAAATGAAACCACAAAATTAAATCTGAAATATAACTATTAGGCGTGCCTAGAAGCTTGCTTCTTTCATGAAACATTTCGTTCTGTTTGGCTTTCGCTTAATTTTCCGCGGTTGCTTCTTGAAGTGACAGCTTTCAACTTATGAATGGTCATACCTTTCTTTTCCTTTTTTGGAAAGCGTTAAAAACCATGAAAAAACTACACGATCACTGGTCGTAGCGTTTTCACTTACCTCTTCTAAGAACTTCAGCTGACTGCTTCTGAGAACTTGGTCAGGGCTTGTTTGCCGGGAATTTTCTTTTGATACTCATTGCGCTTTATATGCAGTACATCGGTCTATCATCAGGCTCCCTCGGAAAGGGTCTTTCACCACCAAGACGCAGTGGCATTTGATGGCCCGTTATCTTTTGCTATGCTCACTTTTGAATTTTATCATTTGAATTGATTCTATCTTTTACTTGTCAATTTTAATTGAATATGATTATTATTTTTTCATTTGATTTTGGTTGTCAACCAAACGTTACTAAGATTTTTCTTGGAATACTTTGTGACCTGCAAAAGCATTTCCTGTACGCCTGTTACGAGGGCTGAATTGCCGTCAATAGGTGGAGGGTGCTCGGTGTGTACTAGAGGGATGATTTGTATTAGTAAAATAAAGACAAACCGTATGGCTACAGCGGGGTGTGGGAAAGGAGAGATCATAAAGGTAGGAGAAGAAGCGCGGCAGAAGGCCGGTAAATTTTGAAGAGTTTTAGGGGGTGAGATTCCCACTTCCGTCGCGATTGTTGAACTGGATCTTGTCATGAGTGTTTGTGTGTTAGTGCAAAAACCTGGATAGGCACAGCCACTGAACACAACACTGCGATGAGTGTTTAGGTAGTTGTGGTACAATCCGGAGGAAAATCGGTTAGCGTGTCGGCATTGAGTGTTACGAGGAAGAAGATGTAAGGATATCTTTTGTCGCTTGGTCTTGAATTTTGATCTTCACGATGGGGAGTGGTGTGTTGTAGTTTCACGGAGGAAAAGCTGGGTCAATTTGCGCGTGGGAGTGGGGGTGCAGATGCCGAGATGCGGGCTGGCCTAAGCTGCCGCAATCTGGCACGTTCTCCGAAACGTTTCGGGAGCTAAATACCGCCAAAGGACGGAGCCGTGACTAAGGCTCAAGCTTAAATTGTCACGCAGGTTGGGGGACTTTGACGATGGATCCGTTTTCGTTGTTTTTCGGTTGTTGTCGAAGGAGTATAGTGGGTGTCCATTCTGTGCTAACCATATGTTATAGAGGAACGGTGGTTCGGAGTTTTAACACTTGGAATCGTTGTTTGTTCGGGTCGGTCGAAAAGAGACAAACATTCCTCGATCGCGCCGACTTTTTCATACCTATTGACCATGCAAGCGACGTCAGTAGAAATGCGAAAATGAAAACATGAATTTTCGTTGTCTGAGAAAAACAAATTTGACCAGAGATGCTTATTAAGATTCAAATTATTAAGATTTTACATTATGAGCGAAGTAACATTCAAAGGCATGCCCCAGGACACATTGGTGTGGCTCTTGCACACGAATGCAATGTGTTGGTGCGAAATGAGCCGGCAGTAAAGAAAATAGGAAAAGGATCTGTCCAAAACTTCTAGGTTGAAGGCTCGCTCACCTTCATAGTTCCATGTGCTATGGGGATAAAAGACCAAGCGCGGAGAGGTTGATGATGTCGGAGAGGCACAAGCAGATGACGAGGGCGGCACAAAACAAAAGAAAAGAGAAAAAAAGAAGGCACTCTTAGCAAGGTTACTATGCATGGGCCTAGCGTCTTGTCGGTTGGTTTCTGTGCACGGGAACGCCACATTAGTGGTTGTCCTTTAGGGTCTACACTACATACCTAAGCGCGGATTATATCATACCTAACTGAAGCGTTCACACGACCTCTGCCTGGGTTGTGCCTCTTAAAGGAGGAATTCACGATTAGAGATGAAGGTCGAAGAAAGGGAAACTGACCTAGTTGAGGGACCCACGGACCTCCTGAGGGTGCGAACTGACGCGCAATTCGCATGGAAAAATTTGACCTCGGCGACCTATCATGCCTCAAAGCTGGCGGGTCCGGCGATCTCCGCCCACCGATCATCTGATCACGCCGTAGTTCAATACGTGGCGAGTGATTAGATAGCTGAGAGAGCGTAGTGTTGAAGAGGGCACAGCGATGAGAGTCGCATCAATGCTCGAATCAACGGGCAAGGAAGGGGTACCATTTCTCGGGTTCTGGGCCGTTTCTCATGGTTCTTCCTTTCTTTCGTGTACCACTCACCATCCCTAGGTTAATTTGAAATGGGTTTGCTTTTTCATCGTGAATTCGTCCTTTAAGTAACATATACCAGATATCAAGATGTACATAATGCTGAAGCTCACTGAACTTATTAATATATTCTAACGTTAGTGCTGACGGTTTCATCGTCCAATTATTTCGCAATAGTTGGAGGGCGCACACAGCATTTGTTCGTCGACAATGTAGCATTGCATATGGCGGCGCCCCTCTTTTTGTGCAGAGATAAGAGAAGTGTACTGCATTAGGTGAAAAAGGAGGGAAACCAATACAGTGGAACACCTTTATTTTGCGGGTCGCTGAAGGAAGTATCATTAAGGTCGATTAGGAAGACCAACATTTAGGACTTTTTCGCAGTAGAGCAAACAGTATTGTCGTTTTTCCCCTGAGTTCTCACACCTCCTAGTTTAGGGCTTACGAGCCTCCAACGGATGACAGTCATTACTCACTAAGAAGTTCGGATCAAAAATTTACTCCAGAGCCATCTGGCGAGGAGATGCGTTGGACTAATATTTCAAATGTGAGCAGGGGTCGATAGGGGTGGTCATGTCCACATCAAGCTCTTTAACGCTTGGGACGCTCGTCGGCGGCCCGCGGCTGTGGGAACACATTCACCCTAGAGAGAAGACGGGGCGTTCTTTGGTGATTTCAGCGCACTTGTTATGCCTTCGAAACTGGCCATATTAATCACTGCGACCTGCATGAATATGGGGCTTTGTAAATAATAAATCGCTTGCTTAGATGACTATATGAAGGAAATCTTAAAAGAAACGGAAGTTACGCACGCCATCGGCGGGGGGTGCGTCAAAGGTCAAAGTTAACGCTGCTGCAATTGGGTGGCTTGAGGGCTTGTAGGAACAGACTTTACGTGATGAAGAAGACTCCAACTATTAAACGAAAATGGCGCCAAGGTTTCGAAGGCTTAGAGCAGTTAGATTTGAAATTGAGCAAGAGAGAGAGGTACGGGGGTCGACTGCTTCCCTGACGTAGATATTAAAGCGGAAAATTATAGAAGCTTTTTCTCGGAGGTAACTTTACAACCCCTTCGATTCCGGCTTATTCGTTGTATTCAGATGATTTCGAGATGTTATGCGACAGCAATCTGCAACACACAGACGGGAATTCTCAATTCGACAATTATCGGTGAAGAAGAACCGGCAGAGACAACAACAAGGGTTCGCATAGAATTCCCATGCTCATAGACTTCTTTTCGTTATATAACGGTGCTGCTTCTTTGCATGAGAATCCTTGGTAGCTACATTACATTTACGGGTGCAAAGTCTTACTTTCTTAACCGGCAAGTCTGCAAAAAAAAGAGCATGAGAAAAGGGACTTACTTTCAGGGCTACCGTTTCCCAAAACAAGAAGCCTTCACGGGAAAAGCGCCAATTGTATCAATTGCCTTAGTAACGCGAGAGCTCAGGAAAAGGCAGTCCTCAAGGGAATAGGCGTGAGATTTTTGAAAACCTTCGATGCTTCGATGGGGATTCTTCACCACTGCCTTTTTGTTCATTGTCTTGCAGGTTTTATTTGGTTATTGAGATCATCTATGAGATGACCGGCCTCCGTGTATTGAAGCGCGGTCCGAAAGAACTTCAAAAAAGCAGCACCTACAACCTCTACTGTGGCTCCAGAAGGGCTCGACTATGAAGTGGATCAGGAGCAGGCTACTACTATTCCTACTACAACGAAAGAAGGGTAAGAGTGCTCCTAATGGCTGTGTCTATCTAGAGCGCGATCTTGTTTCGCTTTTCTTTACGCTCCGTTACGACAAGTTAATTTCGCCGGGTTTTCTTTAGTTTTCTGAGCAGCGATGGCAAAGTGTACGGGTGCTGGCATTTTGTATGGTGTTCAGAACAGGGCAACCAGAACAACGCGTTCCAGAAGCACAACAACGCCGGCGCCGACGACTGTCACCATTTCGAAAAATAACATCTGGGACAGGTACCATCACAATGCCCGTTCGTTTTTATTTTCACCGGAAATATTTAATCCTTGACCCTTGCAGGTTCACTGTAAGCCAAAATTCTAAGGTTTCTTCAAAGTATATTCCATTTTGGAAACGCCTTCTGTCGACGACGATCACTCCTTCCACACCTAATGAGGAGATTCCAGAGGCGTCCCTGGAAATTGAGGTTGGCTATCTGAGAAGTGCTGAATCTCTTTGGAAAATTCTTTAGAATCAAATCAATTTCTCGATTAGCACACCTTAGTGGACTACAAGTGAAAATTGGAATTTCAGGTAGAACCCGAAATCGGTGAGGAGGCGAAATCGGTTGTTGATGTGAAAGAGTTTCCGAAAGAGATGACCATTCCACAGGAAGAAATCACGTCTACGTGAGTTACTGCGAAACTAGACAGTAGCAAGATGTGCACGAAAGGATAACCCTTGCTTCGCTGTTCCATGCCTACCAGGAATGACAAACTTTTACTCTGTTGAGGCGCTTTCTCGGTACGGTCTAGTTCGAAAAACAGGCCCGACGAGCTTAAAGGCAGCGATTACGATAAGAGGGAGCGCATCGGGAAGCATATGCACCACACGAATCAGTTACTTGGCTGCCAGGGAAGCGAGGTGTGCGCTTTCACGACGAAAGGTGCGCTGGTTGCTGAGCAGGACTTCGAAAGCACTCCGCCCCCAAAAGCGATCCGCCCACTAGTTTAGTTGGTGATTTGGACGAGCTGCGTTGCCAGCAGCGGCACTCTCGATTGAGCGTGGTTTGGCATGGTGCCACCAAACGCGTTGCGATGAACTCGTTCATACGTCCGCTTGAGCTGTTACCTGTTCATGAGTGAAAACCAACGGCCAAAAAGGGGTCCCGTTTTGCGTTTTCTTGACGGATTTCTCCGCTTTTTTCGCCACTGGCGTACCATTGAGCACCACCACGTCTCCTTTGAACCCTTCTTGAACTGTGGGTAGGGGCATTTTTGTATCTAACTATTAGCCGACACCAAGATTATGTAGATGGTCTGTATGTACGTACAATACATACAAATCAGATGTCTGCACGCCTGGTTGTTTCGTACGAAAATACCCGTAGTTATAATAAGAAGGGTGATGGGAAAAGATTAGAGAGATTGTTCAACCCACCAATCGAGCACTCCCTGTGCCGTTCAAAAGTAATGGAATGGCGCGCGAAGGCAAGAAGGATAGACGAAGGAGTGAGACTAACAGAGGTTTACAAAACCAATCTATCGTGATACCATCACTTGATAACATATTTCTGTTAAATTGGAACCAGAGTCAACCCTGCGTTGCGCAGTTCGCAACGGCACGTTGAGAGATCCTCAACGCACGCTGTATGGGCGGAGACGCAGACGGCTCGAGCATGCGAGTGTGAATGTTCGCGCGAGAGAACGTGTCTAATCGGGCGAAACTGCGCAACGTGGCCGTTGAAAACTGCGCAACGCAGGGTTGACTCTGATTGAACACAGTATCGTAGCGTATCCTGACAAAATCCATCTGTACAAGTATAGCCTGGACACCACCACCGAAAGTTTATAACACTCTATACACCACTACGGAAAGTATAATTAATACTTCATCCGATCGACAATCCCTTGTTTGCCATTTTCTCAATAATATTATCGTACTTAGTGTAATGTTTAAGAATTGGGAGATCCAGGCGGCAGAACTAGGCAGTTGGATAGCTGTTCAAAGCATTCGATATTCGATATACATAAAGGAAAAAGCTGTCAAGACAGAACTCTTCCGGAATCCATGCTCTCATCGTACTTTACACCAGTCACCGTACCCTTTTCACCCAATTTTGTGTCAAATTTACGTCATTTAATATTATTACAATAAGGAGTTCGCAAGAAGAATCGATATCTTCCTCCGTTCCAAATTCGAATCCGATAGTTTTCTGGAAATGGAATCAAAGCGCTAAATTATTATGGAGAACATTGCAGAGCACGATCATCGCCTAGTTTTGTTTTTTGCTCAAAGGCACAACCCAGGCAGAAGTGACGTGGACGATTTCCTTCTGCATGTAGGAAGAACTCTAGAGGGCAGTCAAAGATGTGGCATTCTCGTGCACCCGACAACATCGCTGGTCATTGGGCCCATCTTGAGAGTTTTCGAAGGATTCTCTTTCCTTTTTCCCTCTCTGCCAGCCCATTTCGCTTCGATACATTCGCATTCGTGTGCAGAAACCACACCAATTTGATCCTGAGGCACGCCTTCGAAGATTAGTGCCAAATATGAGCTCTACGGTATTATGATAGGTTATCTACAACACAGGGGAAGGCGTTGATCTTCCAAATAGAAGTGGTTACATAGGGGAGGGGTTTAGTGCATCCAGAGAATGGGAATGATTGAAATACTGATTTACCCATTACTCAGCATCCCTGATAACGTCAGGACTTGATTACACTCAACCGCATACCATTGTATTGATGGCACCAATGCATGTCGACAAGAAAGTGATTTTTCTCACAATACTCTCTGTACCAATCGATTCATGATCCTCAAAGTAGCGATCGATTGTGGGATCTTTGCCGTTGCTGCAACCATTTTAAACCAGATAGAAGGTCAGTAGATCGGGTAGGAGCGACCTCAGGCTGTAACATTCTGATAGAGCTCGTTGACGGAGTACCACAGCATTTTACTCACCATCAGTTTACTAGAACCTACGACCGCCCCTGCTCTAAAGCCCCTGCGTTGTGTGTAGCCTCCGTCATGTTGGAACATGCGTCCTATATTATAAGCTTCCCCTTGTCATGATTCACATTGACAGAAATTCAGTGACTCAACTATTTATTTCCTTGTAGGGAACGTCCTGCGCAGGAAACAAACCGCCAAACGGAAGTTCCTCAAGTAACACAGTCCTTCACATCAAGAGAGCGACACACATTCAAACCACTGCCGATGACCGTCCCTCCGGCTGCGGGTCCTGAGCTCGCTTTCCAGAAGGCAAGCGGAAGAGGTATGTCAACTTTTACTTGTGTTCCTACTCTACCACGCCAACTACTACCGCCTCGCCTACAGAGTTTAGCCATTTTCACGAATGGCGGGGAGGAGCAGACATAAATGCATATAGTTCTGTTCATAAGGCAAAAACTGTCAGAAAAGTCCCAACTTTTCTTGAATTTTTTCCGACATTCCGAAATTACTCTTCCGGAAATTACGATCCCATTTCGCGAGAGGAGAAGCTCCTCTTCATGATCGTGAAGCACGACGTGGGCCCCTTTCATAGCTCATTTTAATCGACTGTTAACCTTACCTATGATAGATATTAGTGTTGATTATTCTAGACACAATCGAGTTATTCTCAGCGACTTGATGAAGTGCTGAGATTGAGCTTCAAGGAAGATTTATGATAAAAAGGCACCTCATTTGAAATAAGGTAGAGGTGGCTAGTGGAGCAGGGATGAAGAAGAAACCATGTGAAACGGCCCGGAACCCGAGAAATGGGACCCCTTCCTTGCCCGTTGATTTGCGCATTGATGCGACTCTCATCGCTGTGCCCTCAACACGCTCTCTCTGCTATCTAATCACTCGCCACGTATAGACCTGCGGCGAGTGATTAGATAGTCGGTGGGCGTTCCGCGCCAACTGCGCCAAAAGGTGAGCCATGTTAGATCGCCGAGGGCATATCCTTCGATGCGGATTGTGTGTCAGCCCGCACCTTCAAAGGGTTCGCCTGTCTCTCAACTAGGTAAATTTTCCCTATCGACCTTCGTTCTTATTGTGGAATCCTCCTTTAAGTCGTGCTACGATCAAAAAACAGAAATAGCACTGCTTTGATTGGGCTTTTTCAGGACCAGGATTCTGGAATCGATTCCAACCGAATCGATGGTTCGAGTCGATACACTACGTCACGAATACAGGGAAGTGATTTGGAACAAAAGGGTATTTATGCATCATAATTCGTATTTCATAGGACAAACGTGTTTTCTACCCCTTTTACGTATTACCAGCGGCTTCCTGTGCCTCTCGCTCTCGTTATTCACTCGAATTGTCAATTAATTTCTCACCTATCTGATCCGTGCATGCACAGTCATCTCAATGATTTTATGTAGTCTGCTCCATTAGACCATAATTTTTGAAAATGCTCATACACTGTATGCCATATTGGTGGTCCTCTATGGGCTTCTCTGTATTAGTTTTGTATTTATTCTAGTTTGCATTGAATTTGTGCTGTGTACATTAATGAAGATTCATCGAAGTACTTGCTTGAAAATTATGTGGATTGCACGTAAGGGTGCAGTTCAATTTCTTGATCTGCTATGGATTCAATCTACCATGAATTCTTTATATTTATCTTTATTTAGTACACTGTATAAGGCAACTTGAAAAAACATACCAAACGACAACAAAAAACAACGCAACGAAGGCTTGAAAAAACATTGCTGAGTAATATTAGGGTGGTAAGAAAGTCCTGAGCCGTTTGACACTTTTTTTGCTTTACTTTCCTATGTGGGGAACCGTATCCCAGATCAGCTCATCCAATTTTGCACGGGTCTCTTTAGCTATGTGGGGCCTGGCGTCATCGTGGAGTAGGTGGACAGAAGTTCGTCTCGGTCGTTTTTCTTGAACAGCGTCCGCTAGTTTCTGGAGCTGACTGGCGTAAATGCTGCCGGTAGCGGTATGCCCTTGCGGGAGCAGCTCATAATACAACATTCCTCACGAATCCCAGAGGCAGCAAAGAAGACAGCTTTTGGGGTGAAGGTCCGATTTTGCTTGTGTCGGCGGGTCTTCTCCTCGAGGGAGCCACACGGCACTGTGCTTGTTAGAATCGTAGAGGACCCAACTCTCATCTCTCGTAATCATGCCTTCCAAAAACTCCTTTCGGTGCGGACAAAGAAGGAGAAACTGACAAATGGGTACCCGCCTGAACCGCGTGCTATCGGTCAAGACATGAGGGATCCATCGAGTCGGCACTTTCCTGTGGCGAGGGCGTGGAGGGGACCGAGGACTGTGGGATGGGTGCACCCGAGTCTTATCACAAGGCTGCGGGTGCTAACCCTCTCTTCGACAGCGCCGAGAACGGTGGAGTCTTCCACTGTTTGGGGCTTCCCAACCTTGTCTTGTCTTCGGAAGCCGTGTCTCCTCCTTCGAAGCCTGCGAACCAGAGCTTGGCACTGATGATGGAAGTGGTGTCCCTTCCCAATGCGATGCTGATAATGTTGACGGTTCCCACTGCTCCTGTGCCGCAGCGCCATTCATTGAAGATGATCGCTCGAAAGTGCTCTTGTGGAATCGACATCATGATTAAAGTTAAAGAAGGCAACCCGGCAATATATACCTACTGCGGAGAAGTATGATCGACAGCGATAATCTATCACGTAGCAGATTCTAGGTATCGATCAATAAGCGAAAGTTCTGGAGCTTTCGAAAAATCGGCTCAGGACTTTCTTACCATCCCAAGTACATAAAATGAATGATAACTGTGCTTGAAGAATATGGGTTGTTATAGAACGCTTGAAGGGTGTCAAAGAACCGTCAAAGGAGGAAGCTCTGCTAGATCCGCGAAAATGCAAGACCGGCCCTGACTGTCAAGAAATTCCACCTAATGGTGATCTTCGTCCTAGGAAAAGAGATTTTGAATTGTCCCCCCTGGTTTTTGAAGGTATTAAGATGTAAAAGGATGAGAAAACCCTCATTGATGGTTCAAGAGTTTTTCAACATATACTATAGTAAATTGAAAGGATTGCAGCTCGAATGAAGGGAAGGCAAATCGAAGAACTCGTTTTTTAGCAACTTTGGGGAATTTGGAAATTCGCCACGAATAGGCACTTTTCTAGTAAAGTTGTTATATTTTCAACCCTTTCAATGAGAGCAATGTTCTTCTTGGCTGGGCAATATGTATATGACATTTCCATTTTCAACCAATGAGCGCACATAAGTTTTGTACACTTGAATAAGGATTGTGGTATGTTAGTATTGGTTGTAAGGACCTTGAATATGTGAGAATACGGTTAACGACACTCCCACAAAGTGCTTTTAGTTAGAGGTAAACCTCTACAAGGCGCGGTGGCCGCCACGTCATATTAGTAGACACCCTAATTCGTTCGAGATATGTACCGTAAATTCAAGTTTGTCATTATAGCGGAATCCCAAATCCTTAAGGAATCCTTCACGGAAAAATCATGATTCTATTTCAGCCATAAATCACTGGCTTGAGACTCATTATCCACGATAAGAATGAAAAGAACAGAAAATTGCATTTGTTTTGGTAAAAAATTCGAAAAACGAAAGGGCTGCTACGCGTTCAAAGTGCCCACGGACGTCTTTCACAAATGCTGGCGACGGGGATGCTTCCACTTGGTTCTTGGAGTGCTCTTTCTGGCCTTCTGCTTTATTGCATTCACATCTTACACTTCTACTCCATCCTATTCTATCGATCGATTTGTCTCTACTCTCCGAAATCGCGCGCTTTAACCCGATTCTTTCATTGCGTCGCCTGATACGTAGCCGCCCCAGTGCGGACTTCTTCCATGCCCCGCCTTTGGCTCCGCCCGAATTTCCATAGAATGGATTTTCGTGAGTTTGTTTCTCTTCGGAAACCGAATCTTCATGCGTAAAACTTTGTGTATTGCATCTAGTGATCACAACTGATACATTCATGTTGAAAAAGAATGCAAGAATTTTCCGCGAAGATTCCTTCAAATTGTTTCACTTTTGTTATTTATACGCCATTTATGAAAGTGCAGTGTTCATGGGCGACAATTCGATGCGCATGTGAATTTTTAATTGAGGACCATGGAAGATCCCATTCTAGCGAGGTCGCACAAGCCCATCAATCGGTCCCTGTGAAGAATTTGGAACGCTTACATTTGCGTGTCTGGGAAAGAACAAGAAGGTTGTTCAGAGGGTGATACTGTGAAAGTTGGAATATCGTGACAAGTTCATGAGTGAATGTAAGTTTTTTAGAAACCTCAGTAATGAGCTTTATTTTTGATTTTGTAAGGTGTGCAATCTAATAGAGTCGAAGGTTATCAACACAATTCGAATAGGCATGACTTCTTATAACGTAATAATTTCATGAGATGCCAAAAATGACAGCAATTAAAAATGCAGAATTATGCTTCGGTTTTTTCGCGTTCCTTTTCTTTCTGCTCTACTCTTTTATTGTACCGCTTGATCATTGAAACGTAGCTGTCCAAGTAGTCGTTAAATGTTGTATCACGAGGAAGTGCGCCTTCCTGAAACTCCAGTTTTAGATTCCTTCTTCTCATAACAGAGCCACCATAAGTAAAAAGCTACACTAACACCAGCAAAAAGTTCAAGCAGGCAGATATGAAGGAATACGTATTGTATGGCTGACTGAATGGCTTGAAACCGTTGATTACGAAGATCCCTTATAACGTCGACCATAGAGGCATTCGCTTTCTCACGAATTTTCTGCGATGCGTAATCAATTGCTGAAGCATACATGGAATCCGCGTCTCGATCTCGGTAAACTAGGCAAAAGAATGTAACTGACCAACAAAAGTTGCACTTCGACCAATTCCAGCGGAACAGTGAACAGTTATAGGAGCGCCGCTGGCCAGACTGCGGGATAATTTGAACATTCCTATTGTGGGCGCTGCGCTTAACGGTGCCGTGTGGTCTGGCCAATTGAAGTAAGCAAGATGGTGAACGATAGCTGACTTGTCACTGAAGAAAACAAGCAAGGTATTTCGTGAATTTATGATAGTAGGTTGTCCCAAAGTTCGTGCCACTTTCGAATGTTTTTTGAGTTAACGTTATCTCAACAAAAACCAATATATGTACGTCGCCGATATATGGACGTCGCTATCAGTGACTTGTTGCCAATGATCCACCAGAGTGTCGACGCCGTGCTCCCAGAAGGTCGGCAGTTTCAAGCTGGAAAAGGCAGTGAGGTCGATTTTGGGCTCCTTTTTTGAATCGTATTTTTCGTCGTAAGATGATTCCTTAGCAAGAAGTGTAGTTGGCCTTTGGAAGGAGGCTGATCACCGCTGCACGGTGGATCTGGTAGCACTTCTCAACTAAGCTTCGAAATCTAGAGACGTGCTATTTCCGAAACACGTGGTCTCGGTTGTCGTAGAGCGGACATATTTTATTGAATTTTGGGCGCCATAGTTGGAGTTTTCTAGCAAGCTTCAGGCGTTGAAAGAGACCTAGGTTTTTACAAGGCCGAAGCTGTGGAGAAATTCCCAAATTTTATTAGGTTGTCTCATAAATAGTGTCGCTTTTTTTCAACCAAAAAATTTTCATCTAAATCCCCATGCTTTTACATCGATCATATACCATTCGAAAGAGAATTGTCTGCTCTACAAGATGCTATGTTCTTCTTCCACTATGTTCAGGTTTTCAAATTTTAGGCCTGCGAAATGGGAGGTCCAGCCGACAAAAATTGACCAAACCGACAACTAGCTCTAACTTTATTTCCCTGGGAGAAATCAATCAATGATGTACCCTCTACTTACTCATGACCTCTTCTGAACATTCCACCCTTAGGTTGCCGAAAAAGGTTTGCCCTGTTTCTTTTCGAATTGGCCGACCGATAAGCCATGGCAATTTTCAAATTGAAATTCTTCCTCTGAAACGCTATTGTTTTATATCAACTGGTGTATCTTTTGTGAGCACTTCTTCTGCTCTATTCGCTCATTTGTTTTGTTTTATGTTTGTTGGGAATTAGTTCGAATTTTAGGTGTTTAGGAATAAGGTTTATCCACGAAAGTGACCGCATTTCTTTGAAAAAAATTATCCCTGAGAAGATGAGAAAATCAACCAGGCGTACATTCCTAACTTAGTCATGACTTGTTCTTTAAATTCTACTAGTTTTTCAATGTCTCGGCTATAAAAAATTTCGACCTAGATCTCAGGTAATGGTGCTCGACCGTCGAGTTCTGGTTGAAAAACCAGGTCTGGAAATGGAATGACGCGACTTGTTGGGAAACCTAATAGTGTAATGTTTAGAAGAGGTCATGCATAAGTAGAGGGTACATCATTGATTGATTTCTCCCAAGGGAAGATAAAGTTAGAGATAGTTGTCGGTTTGGTCAATTTTTGTCGGCTGGACCTCCCATTTCGCAGGCCTAAAATTTGAAAACCATGGAACATAGGTGGAAGAGGAACATAGCATCTTGTAGAGCAGACAATTCTCTTTCGAATGGTATATGACTCGATGTAAAAGCATGGGGATTTAGATGAAAATTTTTTGGTTGAAAAAAAGCGACACTACTTATGAGACAACCTAATATTTCGAGATTTGCTTCCCATACCTGGAGCAACACGTATTGCTGTATTTGACAGTTGTTCAGCCCCTTCTGAACCATCTAGCCACTGATGCTTCCGCAGGTCGTTAGCATAGAACAACCACTTCTCATCAGCAGTAGCGCCGTTGTTCAGCCACCGCGTAGGGATGGAATAGGATAGAAGATGTTGACAGAACTCGTGTTGCACTCTTGTGATTACTGGTCAATTCATGGGATTTCTTTGTCCAAGCCTCTACAATTTTCCAAAGGAGGGCAGACCTCAATCACCGTGTATCTGAAATGTCTGAGTGTGGTGGTGTCACAGCAAAGTAATTCGTGCGGGGTTGCCTTCAATGGTAGAGCACAGCAGGTCCAAGTCGGCCACCGATCGCCCTCAGGATCAGGATTTCAAACCGCAGTTTTCAGAGCGAAGCAGGACTAACCACTCTGATGCTGCATGGTGAACCAGAAGAAGTATATATAACCAGTTGGCGCCGCACGCATTGCGCGCGCAACACAGATCTGCGGCGAATTTTGATGGTGCGACGAAAATTTTCAAATTTGGCTTGATACAATACGAATATCTGAATTCTCCGCTAAATTCTATCCGCTCTTTCTTCGTCAACCATTATCCTCTTTTTCTCGGTCCTCGGCCCGGACAATAAATCTCGTGGCGAACTCCGTCTACTTCGGTGCGTGCCCTGCCCACCAATAGCATTTGGCCTCCCTTCCTTTCGCCGACCTCTACCCCTTTTTCCCGGCCTCCGGGACTTCTTGGAGCCGAGTTATGAATTTTCGTCGCAAACTCCGCCCACTTTGGTCAAGCCCCGCCCACCGATGACAGCTGGCCTCCACTCCTCCACCCACCTCTATCCACCTTTTTCCGGCTCTTTAAGACTTCCCCGGCCCGAATTATGAGGACTTGTAGAAAATGCTGTACACTTCAGAGCGCGCCCCGCCCATTCTGGGCGGGCCTCCGCCCACGTCATGTATGCAGGAAATTCATTTCGACGCACGCCACGCCCACTGTGGGCGGGGCTCCGCTTAGCTGATGTGTTTTGTATTTCGTGAGACCTTTCCACACTTGACCCGGTCCCTCCAGGCGGATCCCGAGGAGCTAGGGAATTTCGTGACAGACATACAGAACGACGACAGACGAAGCGCTTTATAGTAAGTAGGATATCGCAACACAAATGCTGCTCCTAGTTTCGACCGATTTGCGGCCCAGTAGAAGTTCGTAAATGAAGTGTGGAAAACATGGCTCTCTTTCTTTTTTGATTTTGAATCGTAGAAAGCAGCTAAGGTGGGCATGTTCGGATATAGGTCACTATACGATGTGGGCTCTTCGTAGCCTGGTTGGTCTTGTTAAGAAGTCGCTAAATAAATTCTGGCATGAGGCACAAAAAAGTGGCACGAACTTATGGGACAACCTATTAGATCTTGTATTAAAAGTTTCATTTCTTAGCGAGTATGACTCACTCCCATTTAACTTCCAATACAGTGTGCTTTATGCCATCGTAAGGGTCTGGCTTTATTTCTTTCACGGCAACTTTGAACTCGCCGAAATATCCAATGTCTCGCTTTTCCTTCGGTAGGTAGAAGCAGCATTTCTCATGTTTACCTGCAAAATAGGCATGTTTGAGACATGACACATATCGCAACATTTTTTGTGAACAGTACCTTTCCCAGCAAATAAAATACTCTGACTTATGGAAAACAACCGTAAATGAAAGATGCCGATTACTTGGAGAGGGTGAAACTCCAGTTCGGGGGGGGGGCACTCCATTTTTTCTCCAATACTCAAGATAAGGATTAGAGGGCTCACGACACGTAATCGACTCATTTAAAGTAGACTTCTGATAAGTATCGGTGTAATGTGGAGGAAATACCCGCCTCTTTAGATACGACCCCTTTTTGTCCTCAGCACATCCGGTTTCATGTCAAAAAAATGCTAGTTTCAGATGTTCGAGAGGGACGCAGCGCCGCTGCCAGGCAAATGCGCTTGATCCAAATGCTAGATTCAATTCTTTCTCCTTCTAAAGGACATTTAACCTTTGCCTCATTGGCCGGAAAGTGGAACATTGAAGGAGGTGCTGCCCCTACACAGTTGAACAGTCTCGCGCTCCAGTATAGCGGCGCTAACTACCCGCGATCGCGTCGCGCGCTGTGCCTAGAGCGCGCTAGTTGGAAAAATCGTCAAATGTACCCCCTATTTAAAGGACTATAACTTTCTTCATTGATAACCATTTCAGAAAGTGAAGGCAGCTTTTGAATGCACAAGACTTCTAGTTTCTAATTGTGCTGAGCGTTTTTCTAAGCACGCCTATTCTCGAGAGTGGAAAACGTCGAGAAATTGTCGAGGAAATTGAAATTTACATGCGAGTTCCCACTCTTTGAAAGGCAGTAGCTGTCTTCATTGGCAATGCTTTGAAAATCGGAGGAAAGCGTTGTGAAAGTAGAAGATTTACGCTTTCTGATAGGTGCTCCAGTTGTTTCGAACGCTTTCTAGTTCGCGAGAAATCTGCGTCGAGGAAATGTCAAGGAAATTTTCGAAGCCACTCGAAAACTCTATTACTCCCTTGCCGTAGTAGGGAACTTCTTTGAAACACTTCAAAATACTTCTGTACACGTCAGTTCGATGGAGTAAATTGAAAATGATGCACTTGGCGCAAGCACACCATTCCATTCTTGTATGCGCCATGCAGTGACCCCACTCGGAGTCATTGGGAAGGTGTTTTGTCCTAGTGACGACTTGCTTAAGCACTCCAGAAGATATTTCCAGTAATTAATTAGGATAACTCTTGTGGTCATGATGTCTGATCATTCCTTTATTCAAATCGCTCCCTTTCCAACCCGTTCTGATGAATGACACGCTTGCGGTTGCAGGATCTGATGATGCCAAGAAGGCTGCGAATCTGCCTGTTTTGAACTTTCTACCAAGATGCTGTTCCTCCACTAAGTTCTCGAAGCATGTACATCATTTAGAGAAGATTTTCGCTGCCCTTTCCCTACGATTTTTTGCAGGACGCGTTGCCTTCCTATGCCCACCTGATCACCACGAACCAAACCAACAACCACTTTCCATTTAAATTTTAATTCCAGACAGTTGTGAGATATTATTTGCATTAGGCTAACTACAACTCTGGTAAAACTAATGATGCTAGCAAATAAGTGGCAGCAGCACCGTTGTGTCCGTTGATGAACCTTTTGATTACGACCCCCTCCCAACTCTCATCGGAGCAAATACGACCCCCTGTCGAGGATTTCCTCGACCGTTATTCACCCTGCTTCTGATAAATATCGGTGTAATGGGTGAGAAACCCTGAAACGTTTTCACATTTCCGCCTGCCATGACCCAAGGGAACGGTCCTGGACCAGGAGAAAGGACACCTCCGCAAAGGGCTAAGGGTGCAGGAGCTCCAGGGTGGATCACCTGTGCAGAAAAGTGGATGGGATGTGGGCAGGTAGTGTGGAATGTAGGACATCCACCGGTCCTTATCAAAAGTACGCTCGAAATGAGTCGTTCACTTATTATCTTATCCGTAGTGTTCGATAGCCCAAAGAACTGCTCTCGTTAGTACCACGGATAAGATAGCAATGGAGTGGCCCCCCGAACTGGAGTTTCACCCTTGGAGAGAATAGAAAAGTGATGGATGTGGATGATGAGAAGGAAAAAAACATAGATGCAGCTACCATGATTTCCACAATCTTGGGTGGTTGACAGACCTCCCGGCCACTACTGTGGAGGGCGCTCAGGGAAAGTCTTGCCAGAACACGGGACCTGTCTAGCAAAGGATG